ATCCCCCAGCACCACATGCCAGCCAGCCCCGCCCCCTGGTGGGCTGAGCTGGCCACACACAGAAAAATAAATAAATAAATAAATAAAATAAAATAAAATGATTAGAGTTATAAACTAATTTCCTTACCTCAGAGATGGAAAGAATGGGGCTCTTAAGATGAGGTGACACTATAAATGAATATTCATGAATCACCAAAGAATTATGGCATTAAGCGTGACATTATCTAGCTAATCAGTGAAGTAGCAATGAAATAAAATTTTAATAATTCTAAATTAAGACAGAAGTACCTTTCTAAATTTGCACTAAATGGAATGCTTGTTTAAAGTGAGAAGTGTATTACTCTTGAGAGCGCTCCATCTTACTTTCATAGGTAAATGGAGGCAATTCGAGATCATACTCACTAGTGAAACACATCAAACTCACATGTGTAAATATTGTATCACCTTCCTGGTGTGAAACACGGATGGAGGTATTTACCCGCATTTTCTTTTGAGTACCTGCATAACTTATATTTTTAATATTCAGAGAGTCGTTCCGCTTGCAGCTTATTCCTGAGTATGATGTGATGAATGGACATAATTTTATCTTTTTCTTTATAGCTTTTAGATGCAACACTATTAAATAAAGATCCCCCCACCCAAAAGCAAAGAGTGCTCTATCTGCTTCAAGCAAATACCAGATCAGTACCGTGCTGAAAGCAGCACAATCCCAGGCCCCCGCAAGAGGCAGGAGAGCGGAGGCGAGGACGCCGAGGGGAGGGCGGCCCGGGCGGGGCCCTCAGGATGCCCAGGGCGGCCCAGCGGGAGCCCTGAACGCTGTCCAGCAGAGAAAAGCTGCACTCCGACGTGTCCGCGGCAGCCCCGCAGCTCTCCCGGCTCGGCGTTCTCACGAGCACAGCTCTCACACACACGGGAGAGCCAACATAAAACTCTTTTCAGAATGACCTTTAAAGGCAAACTATATAAGTCATTTCCAAAGAGTTTCTATCAACAGTTTTTACTAAAAGTAATGTTATAGAAAATGTCATTAATCTTGGGGAGAGCAGGAAGATTGTATTATTAACTTGGTTTTTGGTTTTATGTTTTTTAAAAATTACTGAATTATGGGGGCAGACAAGATATTAAGCGGACTAAAGCACCTGTCAGGCAAGCACAGGGACTGTAGTTCGATCCAAGGCACCACATGTCACACCCCTGCCACCAAAAAAAATTACTGAATTACAAAAATAATGTCAGGGCCAGCCAAATAGCTCAGTGGATTAAAGGCCTGCTGTGAGGGCCCCGCCCCCGGGGCACGCTGAGACCGCAATTGAGACTGGGCGTGGTGGCACGTGCCTGTAATCCCAGCTCTTGGGAGGCTGTGAACAGGCAGATCACTAGGAGTCCGGTCTAGTAGTGAGACCCTGAACACCCTGAAGGCCTTTCCTTAAAATAAAAAAAGAAAAAAAAGAAAAAGAAAAAAGAAAAAGTCAAAGGCTACATAACTATGTGAATTTTTTAATTTCTAAAGCACGTCTGTGAAGCTCCAGTGGCGCAATCGGTGAGTGCGCGGTACTTCCACAACGGGTTTGTTTCCCGAGCCCAGCACAGAGGTCGCTGCCCTTTGCCTAGTTAATCTACTTCCACATATATCCTTAAAAGACTAACGAGTAAGCGCCAGCTAGCTCAGTGGCCTAAGCTCCTGCTTAAACAAGCCCAGGAACCAGGATTCAATCCCTGGCACCACATGCCAGGCTGGCCCCGCCCCCAGGCGTGCTGAGCCAGCCGGAGACTGACCATGACGGCACACGCCTGTGATCCCAGCACTGGGGAGGCTGAGGCAGGAGGATCTCTACGAGTACGAGCTGCGTAGTGAGACCCTGCACCAAATACATTTAAAAAAAAAAAAAACCTCATGAGTATACTTAAATATTTACCTATAAAGAAAAATAAAATATATCAATTTTATATCAGACATGATGCAGACAGTAAGAATGAGGTCAGATGGTTAATAGCATGAGCCAGCCATGGTGGTGCGCAGTAATCCCAGCACTCAGGAGGCTGAGGCAGGAGGAGCACCACCAGCTCCAAGCCAACATGGGCTACAATTAGTCCAAGGCCAGACTGAACTACACAGCAAGAACCTATCTCAAAAAAAAACCAGAAGTTTAACAACATAGAAAACCAGATATAACACATTAAGTGTTATATAGAACAGAGGCTACAAAATAGCCTCTGGGACCTCATTTTTGTGTTAAAAACATGCATGAGAAAAGAAAAAATAAAAAAACACAATAATAAAAATGTTAATTATAGTAATTCTCTCTAAATAATATTATGGATAATGCATTTTCTTTTCTACCTAAGACAATCCTAAGAAATAAACTAAGAATAGCAATAGCATTGAATGATTACTGAGAAAGTGTTCTAGGCCCTGTAATTGATACTTTTTAGGCACAAACTCACTGGATCTCCACAGCAGCCCAACCTACAGGGCCCTGCTACCCTAGTGTCCTGGTAACTGAGGAGCCCAAGAATCAAGCCCGCAGCCGGCTCCAAAGCCGCACTCCTACCCTTCACATTGTAATCGCTCCTTGTCACAGAAAGCAAATCATCGAACTTGTACTGTTTTGGTTTTGCTTTATATAATGACTAGATAAGAGACAAGATAAGATCAAAACAAGCAAACTGCAGGCTGAAACACAGAGAAATACAGTAGAAAGGAATGACCAGCTCAAGGCCCCTAAGGAAGATGAATGATAATTTATTGACCATTAGCCTCATCATTCTAAAACCTGTATCAATATTTGGATGAGGAGACCAAGCTTTCTTCCCTACTCTTCCCCGGACAATCCTCAAAGGGTGAGAGTCCCGGTGCTGGTGGAATTCATGTGACAAGCAGGGAGCTGAAACCTCTACTGTGTCATCACAGAGGGAGCCCAAGCAAAGCAAGACAAAAGTTACATGAGAAAAAGAAATGAGGGGCAGATGGCCAGGGAAGAAACAGGTTTAGGGGTCAAGCAGTTAGTGGATGGGGAATTCTGGCACAGCACTTGGAGCTCCTGAAAAATGTGTAACTCAAAATAGAAGTGGCTGTCACCGGGGTGAAGCCCCGAGCGGTGGATGGAATTGTGCTAATGAGCACGGGGTCTCCTGGGTGAGAGCACCAGGAACGTTACAGCTTCTCAGAGCTAGGGAACAGCACAAGGAAGTCAGCAAATCAATGCCAGTAAAAGCACATTAATTTAATATGGGATGTTTATCTCCATGTATAAATAACAGAGGGTGACCCTCCAATGAGCAAATGCCCGTTGAGTAACAGCTCCACTTACAGAGTCCTATTAGGTATTTTAATACTAATGTTCAAAAAATGTACCTGATCTCTTGGAACTTGTATTTTAATTTTCTCCAGGATAGAAACTATTAACTAGACAATAACTAACTATTCCTAATTAGATAAGCGTTTTCATAACACTCATTCAGAGTATGTCCACTATGATTCTAACAGTTAATTTTGTATCGTGTTCTTCCCTGAACCATGAGCCTTTTTATAGCAAAAACTATGGCATACATTACTGTCTCTGTAAAGCTTGGCACAATGCCTAGCATACAGGAACACTCAATAAACCCTTCTAATAAATAGAGGATTTCCAAATATGGCCTTCTCTAAGTTCCAAGCACACTGCCTCTATCTGTCAGTTAGATACCCCAATTTAACACAACCCATCTCTATCATCAATTAAACTCTGACAAATCTGCACACCCTATGGAGTCCCTATTCCCATTAATAGTATCACTCTTGTCCTTGAACCATTTTCTTTTCTTTTTTATGGTACCAAGGATTGAACTCAGGACCCTGCACTTGCCAGGCAAGCACTTATTCTACTGAGCTATCTCCCCAGGCCCTTTTTAACCATTTTTGACAAAAGCCTAAGCTTATCATTTGCTCCAAACTGAAACACAATGCAAACTCCTTAGAATTACCTTTTAACTACACAGCCTAAAAATGGCTTCGTCATATCTTTGCAAACAAAACTATGTTCTGGACATCATGTTTTATAGGACTATATTAAATTAAAATCTTAGTATCTATAAAATTCTTTAATATTGCCTTACAAACTTTTCTCTTATTTTTTATGATTATGTCAATCTTGACAGTATTCTATTAGAGATATTTCAAGGAAAAGTTATGCAACAAAAGACTCTTATTTCACAGTGAGCTGAGCTTTTCCAAGACTGAAAGAAGCTACCTTTGTTCACATATTGTCTCCCAAGTCATTCTACCATACATCATGCCCTACCCTCTAACTCTCATCTGATCACAGTTACACAAAGTTCAGGAGAAAACAGAAAGGAAGAAGAGTAAGTCACAGAGTACACAAGAAAAGAGTTCAACAGAAATTTGCTCTGACAGAACCTATGTAAATAACTCCAATATATTTGGTCAAAATGTCAATGAGCAAGAGGGAAAAACTGAAAAAGCCCATCTTTGTTAACTGGTCCCTCTTCTGGTTCACGGTACCTCCAATACTGTCAGGAAGGTCCAGGAGAAAGAAGTACCCCGAGCCTGGGGGTTCTAGATGGTTCCACCCATAAGGTCCCCTGACTTTTGGCCCCAGCACTTACCATCACAACTGGCCTCACTGGGATGTTCTCTTGTAAAGTGCCTGGTGGAGAATCGCTCCAGTCTGGGAATTTAATAACATCCCTTTGGCGTGGGGGCTTCTTTGGATAAGGCTTCAAGGGTGAGGAAGGAGGAAATCTAAAAGCCAAGAAGAAATGCTCCACTACTGCCATCAGTGGGGACACAGATATTTTAACAATAATTCCCACAACCTGCATTCTTGGGGACTTATAGAATAACCCCAAACATCAGGTAATACATGAGCTTGGCCTGCATCAAATTATTAAACACAGCTAATTGCACCCAATAACAATATGGTTCTAAAAAAAAAAAATTCATTATTACACCCATCAAATAACATTTATAGGAAAAAAATTATCAAACATGGTATACATTTTAAAAATAAAGAAAACTTGTCTTATCTTTGATTCTTATGATTAAAGGTGCCCTTAATGGGATTCTAGGCCCCTTATTTCACTCAGCTTGAAGTCTTTATTGACATATAACCAGCCAAAACTTACAGATAAGTTCCAAATGCAATACTTTATTTAAAAAAAAAAAACAATATTTTCGCTAAGGAAGAGTACATTCATACAACAGTCATTTGGCCCAACATCTGCTTTAATAGCAGTTTTTAATAAAGGTTAATTCCCTTCCCTTTCAGTACCTTCACCCAGAGTCAATTTCGAAGTCTATCCTGAGGCAGCCAGAAAGCTGTCCCATCCTTATTCTTTCTGCTTTCCTGCGCACCTTCCCTCTTCCCAGCCTTCTTGCCTATGGGCACCATTCCTTGGACAAAGCCACAGAAGTCTCCATTGTTCAAATTCCCTTTTCACTGGCCCACATTTTACCATCATGAAGAGCTAAAATGAAAATGCACCGTTCTCATAGGATCTTCTCCCACAAGCTTACTAGAAAAAGATCCATCCCCACGCACTGCGGGGCTGAGGGTATGGCTGGGTGGGCACGACATCCGACATCCGCTGAGCACTGCAAGGCTTGCACCTGGCCCTCCACCTCCGCACGTCGCACCGCACACACAACACGTGAGAGCACTAGGTCCTGGAGACGCCGAAGTCGGCAGTTGGTTGACTTTTCATTTTACTTTTCTCTAAGGCAAAATAAATGTGAATATCTTGCCTACAATATTCACAGAAAAAGTACTCCAAAGAACAACATTTATTCATGAAGTACACAGAAACAAAGAAATTTAAAACATCTATAGTTCTCAAGGCAAGTCTGTATGGAGGTGAATCAGAAGACCAGTAGGAGCACCACAGAGAACTATTTCAAGACAGCCTCAGGAGACTTGAAAAGAGATGACTCATGGAGAAAAGGTGAGCTTCATCTTCTCTGAAAAGAACACCTAATAACAGCACTGTGCTTGAAAAGTCAGTTTTGAGTCAGTGAGAAGAAAACGTGAAGTCTGGAATCATTAAATCAAGTTATGGGGGCTGGGGAGATGGCTCAGTGGAATAAGCGCTTCCCTGGCAAGCGCAAGGGCCTGAGTTCAATCCCCGGTTCCGCCAAAAAAGAAAAAAAGAAAAGAAAATTAAAAATCAAGTTAAAGATAAATAACTGGAAACTTAAATTTCTGGCAATCAACTTGCTACAGCAGTATTCCCAAAGAGTCTAAAATATGAACTAAATTCATCTCTAGAACCAGTCATGGTACCCTACTTTGCTAAGGCCAGCATCCAATCCAATTTCTTAAAAGCTCATGATCACAACAAAAGTCCCATTTCTAGCCAAACTATTGCATTTATGGACACGCTTGCATGCATACACACACACACACACACACACACACACACACACAAACTGCGTATAATTTCAATAACCCACAGACCAACCCACCTCTCAGTCCACTAAAAATTAAACACAGTCCTCCCCCCACCACCAATTCCTACTCCTTACTTACCAAATCAATCTCTTTACCTATTGTATAAAAATTTGGAGACCTGAGTTCTAGGCTTGACTTTCTCACAAACGACTGTTTTTTGGAAAGTAAAAATATCTCTAAATCACAATCTATTCATTTCTCTAGTGAAAGAATTCAATTGAATCATCTAAACATGTTCTCCTAGGTTCAAAAATGGGTTTATATTTCCACACCCCAAAACAAATAACATCACCAAAGACCAAAGCAGAATTTCTCATGTGCAGAACTATGATCGAAGAGAAGCCAAGGAGTCCCGGCCCACCCTGCCCCTCCAAAGATGGGCTCTGCACATGATGACCTCTGTAGCAAACAGGAGATCTGCAGGTGTGGTAGTTACTTTCACTGAAGTCTCCCAACTTTGTCTGAGACAAGATGCAGAAGAATTCCCTCCAATGATCTATTTTTGTTTTGTACACCGAAAGTTATCAATTTAATCCTAACAGTTTAACATTTTAATCATGTAGTCTTGGACTGAAAATTCCTTTAGCACTATTATAAATCAAATGTCACATTTTCACATGGGAAAAAGTAAGAAGAGAAGAAAGCAATGTATTAAAAGCCATATAACTAACTGGCCAGGAGAACAAACCATCTTGCACAAAAGATATGCAAGCTCTGTTATAAAACTTTATGGAAAGATACTAAAGAAGTAAACTGACAGAGAACTATGTTACATTGGTAAATATGAGTCAATATTATAAAATTTCAATTTTCTTCATGAAGATCTATAACTACAATGAAATTCCAATGAAAATATAAAGTTTTTCATGGAACATGATAAACACTTTTAAAATTCATATGGAAATGCAAAGGGCCAAAAATAATGAAGATACGCTTGAAGAAGACAAAGGGAGGTGATCTGCCTCATAGCACGTGAAGATCTGTGAAGACATCGGAGCCAGGCCACACTGCTGAATGCACCAGCGCTTCTCAATGGCAGCATCAGCAACAGCTAGAGCCTATCCTTTGTTGTCAGACTGTCCTACATACTGTAGAATGTTTAGCAGCATCCCTGGCCTCTACCCACTGGGTTTAGCAGCACTCCCCAAAATACAAGTATCTGTTGCTTGTGATAAAAACTTCTCCAGATGTTGCCGAATGGTCCCCCAAAGAACTGTCCCAAGTTGAAAACTAAGGGCCTAAATGAAAATCTAAAACAAACACACAGTGAGGCTTAGAAACATGATAACAGAGTAGGTATCACAGATCTATGGGAAAGCATGCAATGTTCAGTAAACAGTACTGGGTCAACAGTTAACCTTTTGGGAAAAGTGAACTTGCCTTCCAGAGGCAAACTGCCACATTTCCAAAGATAATTCAATTCCAAAGGTGTTTGTGGCAGTTCAGCCTCCTTGTTTTCTGCAGTGGGATCTGGCTATTACCAATAGGCAGGGTGTATTTCTCCTCGCTGAGTCCAGGTAAGGCCCTCTAAGTACCCTGCCTCCTTCTACTCTCACTTTTATAAAGTTAAGAAGCCCTCTATAAGAGTCTGGTAAGTGGGGCTGAACGGTGCAACTCTCATGTCCCTGGTTTTTCTTTTGCAGCCTGGTCTCCTCCTCAGGCTGTTTAAGGACTCTACCCCAAATAATCTAATTAAGCTAAACATGATTTGTCAAAGGGGCACATTATAAGTAAAAATATTCCTATCACTTAGGAAAATCCAGGCGAATAAGGCACCCTGTGAGAGAAAGTGAGGATAAAGACTGACTATATTTCTTATTGTATCACAGCTTCCTACAAATCATAAAGGGTAGTTTACCACAGCAGACTTGTAAGGAGCCCAAGACAGAAAATTCCAGTTTCAAAGAGATCTGTGAGTGTAACTTTGTTAGTGAACAAACCACAATTAAGATTTGCAAAAATTCTCAACATCTTTAGACAACAGCACTAGTGGACTCACCATCCACCTGAACAGTTGAAATGAAATTGAGAATCACATCTAGCAGGACATTTCAAACCAAAATGACTGGCCAAGACTCTCAAGCTTCTATAAGCACAAAGTATCTGAGGAAGCTATTCCATTCCAATGCTGAGCCAAAAGTCCAAAAGCCACTTGGAAGCCTTCCCAGGAAGCAGAATTATGCTCTAACCCAGGAGAGGAAAGCATGCACGTCACTGCCTTACAGAAGGTCTGCAGGGAACTGACTGGGGCATGTGATGTCATAACGTGAAGAAGGTAGAAGATCGTTTGCAAAATGGAAGGAAGACTGTGTGGCCAGAGGTAAACCACACCATGTTGTATTTTCCAAGGAGGGCCAACACACCTCCCCTGCTACAGGCTCTTCCCATCCTGAATGTGCCTCCTTTCTCATACATAACTCTGATGTTCCTCCATCAACAGAGGGTATTTTTCTGCACACCCCTCGCCATGTGCCGCCACCACCACATGAGTGGATGTCCAGTTGCTCTGAGTAACAGAACACAGCACACATGAAGGGATGCTGTGCAGTTCCACACATAGCCCTCAGCTACCTGGCCGCTTTCTTGTCTGCTGGAAACACTTGCTCTTGGTATGCTTGCACCTGGGACACAACTCTTTGGGACCTAGCCACTCAATAGTTACAGAGATTACCCTAAGACCAGCATGCATCAAGAAGCACAACCCAAGGGGAAATGCTCTAGAGAACAAACCCCATGGAGAGACACAAGCCAAGAAGCACAAAGGAACCACATTTGTGAAAAAAGAAGCCATGAAAGTTCGGGATACACTGTTTGTTAGCATTGGAAAACCAGAAAATCCCTAATTCACACTACTGTGAAAAATCATGGACAAGACCACTGCACAATAAAAGACCACTTCACAAATACATCTTTGACTAATGAAGAGATTCTAAGATATTGGAAGGCCCTGGAGAGAGACAAACACAGAGACACAGAGACAGAGACAGAGATAGAGGACTTTTGCAATTGGTATAACTTGACAAAGGAGATATATATGCATAGAAAAACACATGAACTTTTCCAGATGTGGAATCAAGACAGTTAAATAAACAAATAAAACTCTACTAAATCAAGCTGGACATGGTGGTGCACACCTGTAATCCCAGCATTCAGGACCTGAGGCAGGAGGATCACCATGTGTTTGAGGCCAACCTGTCTCAAAATTTAAAAAAAAACAAAAGTATATTAAATTATATCCATAATCAAAGAACTTCAAGTTAGCACCATAATGAGGGAAGGCAGAAGATAAACTAAA